TATAAAGTGGAGACTCACACAGTGGGGAAAAAACACTTATGCAAATATTACTTGGACATAGTAGTTTGAAAAAAAATTTCTCCCCAGTCTAATGATGAAGAGAACTGTAAAGAAATCAGGTTTATTATTGGTAGTGGTTCAGTGTAACAATTCTGAAACAGTTTCATATATATAATATAACGACTATATTAATATTGTTGGTAGCCAAGTTTTCTCTGTCAGAGAATTAACATGAAAATACAGAATGGGGCAAAGAAAGGAAGAACTTACCTTATGAAGCTAGATTGTGTAAACATAAACTTACCTTTTCTCTTTTTAAAACAAACAAAATAAAACAATTCCTGGCTATGTTTGCCAAAAGGGAAATGAAGAGCTCTAATTCCCCAATTCTGGATTTTAAAAATCATCCTCTACTAAAAAGAGCCAAGGCTGCTTGAAGAGTGGACAGTTTCCATTGCTGGGCAGCATTATGGGTTATGTGGGTGTCCCCCAAAGCCTCACGCACTCATGGGAGGTGACTGGACCCACAGTGGGCTGTGCAGTACATATCAGTGGATTAGACCACTGATGAGTTTTTAGCTAAATGGGATTTGGAGGTGGAGCCTGATGGGAGGATGTGCGTCACTGGGAGTGTGGCTGGGAAGGGTCTGTCTCCCTCTCGCCTCCTTTGATTTCTTTGCTTCCTGCCTGCCATGCCATGAGCTGTTTTTCTTCTGTCAAGTCCCTCTGGCTTGTAGTCTGCTGACTGTGGACTGAAACTTCTACAAATTGTGAGCCAAAAGAAATCTCTCTCCAGGGGTTGGGGATTTACCTCAGTGGCATAAGCACCTGCCTTGCAAGCAGGCAGTCGTGAGTTCAATCCCCGGTACTGATAAAAAAGGAAAAAGACAAAAAACAAACAAACAAACAAACTCTCTCCTTTAAGGTGAGGGTGTTGGGTATTTTATACCAGCCATAAGAAAGTAACTAAGACAGGCAGGGAAAATGTGACATGCGCCTGAGAAACTTAAAGTGAGCATGAGGATATGTCCCAAGGGCACGTGGGCCAGTGGATAGATGGGCTTTCACTGACCAGACGTAGGCCAATGTGAGCATCAAAATGAGCAGTAACATTAATGGATTCATACTGACACTAAAATGTCCATAAGCAAGTAAATGGTGGGTGGAGAAAGAGGTGGAAATCTTTATATTAGAAAGCTAACTAATAAATGAAGGAGGAATAAGAGAAAAATCATGATTTATGCAATTATCATAGTAATGATTTATTCATGCAAGGATCATCAATGTGTGCTAAATGTTTGTTGTAGACAATATACTGGGGAATAGAGCATTTACAAAGTCCCAAAGATTAAATACCAAGAGAAAAGTGGAGGACAAATCTAATGAAAATCACTTTTTACCAACTGTTTAAGGGCAACAACATTTTCCCCAAAATATACACTGACCTTATGTGTGGCCTGGTGTGATGGACACAATATTGTTTGTGTAGTGTTTCTGCCAAAAATGTAAGTTCTTAACTAACAACTGGAGGGACAAGAAGAGCAAAACAATGTGCCTGCATTCTTCAAGAATGTCAGTGTACTGGAAGACAAGAAAAGCTAAAAAACTTTCAGATTGAAAGAAACCAAAGAGAGATGACAAATAGATGAAATATGATTCTAGATTAGGAAAAAAGTAAAAAAAATTTTTTTTTTTTTGTCTTCTTGAGACAGGGTCTCACTATGCAGTTCAGGCTGGCCTTGAGCTCACTTTGTAGCTCAGGCTGGTCTCGAATTTGCAACGATCCTCCTGCCTCAGCCTCCTGAGTGCTGGGATTACAGGCATGAGCCACCACGCCTGGCTAGGAAAAAAGTTTTTATAGAAGATGTTATAGGAAAATGAATGACATTTAAATATGAAATGCATATTTAGACAATAGCATTGTATAAATGTTAAATTTCCTAATTTTTATGATTGTGTTGTGGCTAGATAAGAGACTGCTCTTGCTCTTAGGAGATATATATGAAGGTAAGCGGGCATAATCTCTGTAATAAATCTTTGATAGTTTGACAAAAACAAAATAAAAACCTGTAAATTGTCCTGTGTACATTAGCTTCCTGAGAAGTATATAAAATATATTTATTTAAAAATTATTTAAAATATAGTATAGAAAATATACTATAGAAATTTCTATGGGGTTTTGGAGTCAGATTCCACATTTTCCTATCAAGTAAATTTGTTTAGTCTCTTTCATTTATTATAAGGATAGCTAGAAATGTAAAATGAAGTACAGTATAACTACTGTATTATGTTTTTTAGGCTAAAGGAAATGTCAGTATCTTTTTTTTGTTTTAAGGAAGTGAGGTATTTTCCAAGGTACTAACTTTACTCATTTGGTGACCAAAAATAAAATGATTCAAAAATAAGGTGATAATTGTAAGGGGGAGAAATTTTCCTGGCATTCTATACATAGGAGATATGCTGTGATTAGGTCTCAGACACCTACAGCTAGAGAGTGGTTATGGATTTAAGCAGATAAATGTAGGCTTTATCGCTGTACTTTGGTATTAATATGAATAAGTGCCCCTTAACGCATCATACTTTGCTTATTTATTTATATAATATTTTGGTATCAGGGATTGAACTCAGGACCTTGCACTTGCCCGGCAGGTGCTTCTACCACTGAGCTATCGTGAGATACTGTTTCAAAAAGACAAACAAACAAACAGTAAACAACAACAAGAACAAAAAATGCTTTATTAAGTTAAAGTGACTAGACACAAAGGGTGCACACTGTATTCCATTTACATGAAGTCCAAAACAGGAAAAACTATATTAGGGTTAGAATGTTTGTGTTCTTCCACTCTGCTGGCACCAGGAAATGGGCATTTGAAGAGGTAAATCTTGAGGGCTGTGCTGTGGTGAATGGGACCAATGCATTTAAAAACACACTGAAGCGGGCTCCCTGGCCTTTCCATTTCTGCTGCCAGGCGACGACAAGGCGATGACAGAGTATTTGCTCCTCTCACCTTGTCAGGACGCAGCAGCAAGGTGACATTCTTGGAAGCAGTTATGGAATCTGGCTCCTACAATGGTGAGGAATTTCTATTATTTATAAATTATTCAGCCTAACATATTTTAAACATTTATTTTAAAAAAGATATAACAGAATAAAACCAATCAAACCAACCAGTGTAAGAGATACAGGCCTACGAACATTACAAAGTCAACAATAGTTACCATAATGCCTTTTGATGTCTTCAAAAATAGCTGCAGATAACTTTGGACATAGTAAAAATCAAACAGAACAGAACAGAATAGAAACAATAAGAACAAGACAATGAATGCAATAAAGGACTTTAAAACAAGCCAATAGCAAATCTAAAATTGCTACCATAATATATCTTGCTATCTTTGCTATTGGATTTGACATAATCAAAACAAAAGAGAATAAAACCCAGCCCAACGAAACAATATAGGACTCTAAAACAAGGCCACAGGGAATCAACAATGACTGCAACACTCAGAAGGAGATCCTTCCAGATGTTACACCGCATACTACTATCCTCTGAACCCATGATCAGACTGTAAGCCCTAGACCTGCAACACCAAAGCACCACAGGCACCCAATTGCATTTCACCTCCATAGCTATCATCACAGCCTGAGTTTCTCCAGATAAGCCAGTGCCTTATGGTGGTAGTGGTGGGGGGATAGGAGGAGGGGGCTGGGGGATAATACTTCTTGTTTGCCAGCCCCTGTGCCAGAAGGGACTGGGATCTAGCTGTTCCAGTCTGGTGGGGGTTTGCACATGGTGCTGGTTCCCAGACTGGGTTTGGTCCCTGATGTGCCCTTTGTTCTTTTTACCCCTAGTCTGCAAATAGCACTGACTCATGGGAAGAGACTAGGATCTGGCAGTTCCAGTCCAGCGGGGGTCGGTGCATAGCACTGGGTTTGCTGGCTGATGTGTCCTTTGTCCAGCCTAACTTATTTTGTTATAGCAGCGTGAGTGGACTAAGACACTTACTGATGGAAATGAGAAAGTGGTTGGTTCTGGGGTGGTGGGGAACTGAGAGAACTTTCTGAAGGTGATAGAAATATTGTTATATTTTGGATTTAAGAAGTTTCATGAGGTTACATAATTAAAACTGAATATTGCATTTTATTTAATCTTAATTATAACTATGAAAAAAAGATTTTATATATCCCCTAAATGGATTATACAACAATCGCCTACAAAATATTTCTAAAAATGTTAGATTCAAATCTGATAAATGCCTAGGTCAAAGAATTAATTTATAGGATGTAGAAGGAGCAAAAAAACTTATTTAATGATATTTTGGGGTTGTAATCAGGGAAAACTGATTTGTGGGAGAATACTGGTGTTTCAGCTTGGGTAAACAGCATCTCTCTGGCTATTCACTATTTGTGCTACTCCAGATGAGGAGTCCACAGGAAATGTTCACCAAGAATGTCTCCTCTTCTAAACCAGGTTCTGTGTACCTAGAATCTGAGTTTCCCAGCCTATAAATCCTATGCTTGTTTCCAGGACCTGCCTGGGCACATTCCTAAATTTATCCTCCCAACAGTGCGGTATGTGGCCAGTGGAGGCTGTTTTCAGAGGTTGTAGATTGAGTTTGGACACATAGGCCTGAGTGTCCTTGAAATCAAGATGGAGCCAAGGGAGAGAATGAGAACATTCTGTGGGCTGGGTGCCAGCTTCCTGTGCAGTCATAATCTACTGAGGAATTCTAGGTAGACTGAGTAATTCTAAATTTAAATGTGACCTTCCATATCATTAAGGGTATGTTTTCTAAGGTAGGAATATTGAACATAGTTAATTGTTAACTTGAGTTTAGACTTCTAAATATTTAGGTATATGGTTTTTGGATTTCCATTTGTACCATTGTGCAAGCTGTACATGTTAAAGTCAGGTCTATTCCTAAACTCCTAAAGTTTAGAAGGAACAACTGAATTACTTCTTCATATAAGTTATAAGAAGGAAAAAAAGAGCAAGAGTATCTAGAGATTGAAAAGGCAAATAAGCAAATTTTAATGTACGAATGCAGTCTAAATGTAAAACAATTCAAAAGACAACTAGGAGAACTGAGGCAGGAGATTCAGGCGTGACAGGCTGGCTGGAAAACATGTGTAACTTGTCAGTCATGAAGAACCTGAAAGAAGACCAAACAACACAATGTAACCTATCAATTACAAAGAGCCTGAATAGAGAGACTGGGTAATCAGGTGTGACTTAGCAATCACAACTGAGATCGATGCACAGAGCATCTTTGGAGGGACCAGATCTGAGAAAACATAGAAGGCAGCAGCCATTGACTTTGAGGTCCTTTTGGGGTCTTCTCACCACTGCAATCTTCTTATTCTGCTGTCCTCCTGTTTCTGCAGTGGTTGCAGGACGTGTCTCTTGCTACTTTCTGTTCTTTTTTATTTTTTATTTTTGTCTTTTTCCTTTTTATCGGTACCAGGGATCGAAATCATGACTGCCTGCTTGCAAGGCAGGCGCTGATGCTGCTGAGCTAAATCCCCAGCCCCTAACTTTCTGTTCTTTATTCTTTCTTTTTCTTCTTTTACTTTAAGTAAAAGTTGTGTTTACCTGTTCATTGGTTGTCCCAGCCAATTCTTTTGGAGGGACAGATAGAACTTGGAACCAGTGGATACTGTGCCACCCAACAACAGAATGAGAACACAGACTAGATACAATTAATTTTATTAGGGAATTAAGATTTTCAAGGAATGATAATGGTACAGAGATTGTATTCAGAAGGCATCCTTATTTTTTTTTAGGAGTATAGATATATGCTTAAAATATTGGGGTTGAGGAGGCAGTGGGCAGGAATGTGGATGAAAAATCCACTTTCTGAGTTGAAGCTATGTCAGAGGATATGGTACTTCACATAACTTTCTCCCATGGTATAAGCTTGAATTTCCATTTCACTATTAACATTTTGATAAATATTACTTCTGTGTGCAGTACACCCCCACAAAGTGGTGATTTGGAGTTCAAGGCCTCAGCTGTTTGTAGATTGTCCCTTAGAACCTATCTCATAATTGTTCACAGCAAACCCTGCATTTTTGTAGAAACTGAAAATATCCTGCAATTTTTTTTAATTGTAAGGTTTTGCTTTAGTTGCTAGGTATTTCAAAGCTCAATTTGTGGCACCCCTCTGGCAATTACATGGGAACTCTTGGCATGCATTTTTAGGTGTATTAATATACCTCTGGCTTTGTTTTGTTTTCTAATTATCTGTTGTCTGGGCTTTCTCTTTGAATCATTTTCTGCTATTATAGTATATATCTTTTTCTAAGCACTTGCAATCTTTCGTGAAAGATGTGGGATATAAGTAAGATATATATATATATATATATATATATATATATATATATATGTATTTTTTTTTGGTTGGAATTTTGAGACAGACATGGTTTCTCTTTGTAGTCCAGGTTGGCCTCCAAATTGTGGTGATCCTCCTGCCTCCGATTTCTGCGTACTGGCTAAAAACTCATTTTAAAAAATAGTTAAAAAAAAAAAAAAAGGGGCTGGGGATTTAGCTCAGCAGCATAAGCGCCTGCCTTGCAAGCAAGCAGTCGTGAGTTCGATCCCTGGTACCGATAAAAAGGAAAAAGACAAAAAAAAAAAAAAGTTCTTTTTTATTTGTTAAAGTTGCTTATTTCCTTTCATTTCTTGCTTCATGGAGAGCTTATTGTCTACTTCAAGGCAGGGCTCATTTCCATAGCTTTCTGCCCCACTTATAACCTTATCTACATCTTTATTTTTTTTCATTTTCTTAAAAATTTTTAAATTTTTTATCGGTACCAGGGATCGAACTCATGACTGCCTGCTTGCAAGACAGGTGCTTATGTTGCTGAGCTAAATCCCCAGCACCTACATCTTTAAAATAACATTTTATTTTCCTTATAAAATATATTTATCACATAGAATATAGGTAAAATGCAGAATAGTTAAAAAACAGATATCATGTTCTAAAAACCAGTCTGCCCACTGCCTTTATAACCCATTGTTCTGTCTTATCAGTGTATTCGTTACTGTTTCCTCATCTTTAGTTTTCTATGCAATCATGTCAGAAGACCCAAGTGTCCCACGGATTGTATACACAGGGCAATCAGTAAGACTGCTCCAGTGCATTCCTACCTAGAAAAATTGAGACCACTTTTTTTTAACCTGTAGATGATGTTATTCTTCACCCTCATTCCCCTCCCCTCTGTCGGCCTTCTTCTCTTCATTTACAAAAGCTTTGTTTCCACTTCCCCCCTTCTATTCCTATTTGAACATTTTCTTCCTCCTTTCCAGTATCTATCATTCATTTTGGTCCTTATTGACTCTTTGGGTTTCTCACACAGCAATAACAATGCAATACTTAAATGTGTGTCCAATTTATTTCATTTAAGATTATGGTCTCAAGGTGTACCCATCTTCTAAAAATGTCTCAAGTTTATCTCTCTTTATGGCAGAATAGTAGTTCATTGTATATAAAAACCACATTTTCTTTATCCATCCATCTGCTGATGGGAATCTGGGATGTTAGATTGTAGTACTATAAACAATAAGCATTTTATGGATGAAACTCATCCGGTCCTGCTTTGGAGCTCCTGTACATACCTTACTGTTTGCCTGCCGAGTGGGTGAATGCACAAATGGGCTCCTATTTTCCCAGGCACAACTACTGTGAGCCATACCTGGGTTCCATACAGCAAATTAGGTGTTTGTGGAACAGAAAAATGGTCTGGTTGTATTTTACCCACCGTGATGCTCAGGAATACATATGCAAAAAGTTACACGGAACATTATGTAGGTAAAAATCTTGATTTGACACATTTGCACAGGTGTATGTACCTTACTGTTCATTATACCAAGTGGGTGAACACAAAGATTGCTTCCTGTATCCCTGAGGTGCAGCGACTGAGATGCACAGTCAGCTACCGTTATGTTAAAGTACATAATTTCATTAGAAGAGTGTGGAATGGGCTATTGTAATGCACGATAATGCCCCAAGTACTTAAAAGTCTACATCTACTTTGACATTATTTTTTCCAATTCTATCTCCAATTTAAGGTAATTTATCTACCTGATCTATGGATCCTCTCTCTTCTTGTTCCCTTAGGTAGTCAGTTATCCTATTTTATTTTATTTTTTTAGCAGTATCTTTAATCTCTTCCTCACTACTGCCATGCAAGATAGCAATTCTGGCGATGTGAGCAGTAAAATAACTTACCAAAAGCAGAGTAAAAATAAAGCCAAGAGTTTACTTAGATCAGGATACAATGTCACGAGGGGTTGTGGGCAAGTTTCCAAGGTAGCAATTGTGCTGTGAGGGGGAGAAGATGAGGTCTTTATAAGAAATTGAAGAAGTGGGAAAGGGTCTGAGTCAGCAAATTAGATATCTTAGAACTGCATTTTCTAGGGACATCTTCTTCCTTGCTAATGTTTCAGGAAAACCTGCACTGTATCTAAAGTTGTACATCAATAGAGCAATTTGACAGGGTCATTTATTTTCTCCTCACAGTGCATTACCTTCTGACTGCTTAGTATTTGCTGAGCAGGATTGCTTTAATAGGGAATTTTGCTGCTGAGGGTTTTAATTCTTTTGTTGCCAATGGATAACAATCACAAGTAAAATATTTTTTCTGTTGTACTAATAAACATTAAGCTATTCTTCCATAAAGAAAGCTTCCAACTTCTTCACCTGCCATTCTCCTCTGGCACTGAACTTTTTTTTTTTTTTTTTTTTTTTTTTTTGTCTTTTTCCTTTTTATTGGTACCAAGGATTGAACTCACGACTGCCTACTTACAAGGCAGGTGCTTATGCTGCTGAGCTAAATCCCCAGCCCCAGCACTGAACTTTCTTCTTTACTTTACAACCACACTTCTGGAAGGACTGTCTTGACATGCTGCATCCAAACCCACTGCAAACAGATTTACATTAAAGCCCCAATGCCTTTTTGTTGCTATGGTATTAGTATCAAAATTATGGCATATATATATATATATATATATATATATATATGAAAAAAAGGTCTTTTATGTAGGAAAAAAGTTTTCCTTAACTTGAATATGTAAACAATATTTATGCAGAGAAAAAAACTGATGTGTGGCAGATGCAAAATTAAAGTTATTTCTGAGTAGCTGGATGACTTTTTCTTCGTTTTTAAAATTTCCACGATTAAAAATGATTCACTTACTTTTATATTAGAACACATTAATTCAAAAAATTTCAACTTACTTTTTTTTGTCTTTTTTGACAGGCTTCCACTATTCAGTTCAGACTGGCCTTGAACTTACTCTGTAGCTGAGGCTGGCCTCAAATTTGCACTGATTCTCCTGTCTTCAGCCTCCCTAGTGCTAGTATTATAGATGTGCATCACCATTCACGGCTACACTTTCCAGAAGGTGGTAGAAAGCTAGAGAAGCAACAGTGAGGTGCCACTGGGTTGCACTTTAAGATCCAGGAACAAGGGCGCGAGACCCAGATTCCCATGTTCACTGCTCCAGCTACGGAGCACGCCTGCAAAACTTCCTGATAGAACGATCTTCTTTTAGAAGAGCCTTTATGATCTTTTCGAGTACCCCCAAAGCTTTGCGAGCATCTTCACCTTTCGGGCTAAAGACTCCAAACTGCCAATAACCTGTATTCGCTTCCATTGCCGTGGTAACAGCCACAGCGTCAACTAGGCTTCCGTAACTGTTCCCAGAATGCTGCGCGCCTTCACTCACTCACTTCCGAGGTCCGACTACTTCCGTAGACAGGGTTCAGCTGGTCTGCCCAGGGTGCTGGCAGGCTGTTAGCACGTACAGACTAGAGATTATATTTTGAAGAGGTCATTAAGGCTATTTTTTCCCCCTCAGCATTGAACGCGATTAGAAGGCTAAGGAAAGGTTGTATTCTCACGGAATTTTTGTTGATCCTAAATGGATGAGACGTTATTTTTTTAATCGGTACCGGGGATCACACTCACGACCATGCGCTTCCAAGGCTGGCGCTTATGCCGCTGAGCTAAATCCCCAGCCCCTGATGAGACGTTATTAAAAACAAAAAACAAAGGTGGTGTATGTTTTAAGTAGCTTGGGTTGGCCATTCCACAATGTATATATATATATATTTTAAAACACATTGCACACCATTCATACTTTATTTGTAAAAAATAAGATAGTATTTATTTTTTTGTCTTTTTGAGACAGGGTTTCACTATGCAGTTTAGACTGCCTTTGAACTCATTTTGTAGCACAGAGTGGTCTTGAACTGCCAGAGATCCTCCATGCCTCCTGCATGTCCACGACGCCCTGCTAAAAAGTTAAAAAGTTGAGCCTTGGGTGGTGGCATAGGGTTGTAATCCCAGCACTCTGGGGGCTGAGGCAGTAGGACTTGATCTTGAACTATATAGCCAGATCCTGTCTCAAACAACAAAAGTTAAAAAGCTAGTGTACACCCCTGTAATCCTAGCACCTGGGAGATTGAGGCTGCAAATTCAAGGCCAGCCTGAAATACATAGTGAGATCCTGCCTCAAAACAAACATCAAAAAATCTGAAGGGTGGTAAACCTTAATATGTAACTTCATTTGTTATTGAAATAATTTAAATACCTTTAACCTATTGCCTATAAAAAGTAATTATTTTTGTTTTACAAAATGAAGGCAAGCTGGGGCCGGGGATTTAGCTCAGCAGCATAAGCGCCTGCTTGGCAAGCCCAAGGTTGCGAGTTTGATCCTCTATAGCAAAAAAAACCAAACAGCACAAAATGAAGGCAAGCAAAAACCAAAACAACACAAACCCCCCAAATCCCATCCCCTCAGAGACAACCATGGTGAACACTTTTCTGGAATCTTTGAAATTCTTTATATGCATAAAAAATAAAAATTCAAAAAACCAGCGAAACAGTATATACTGTTTTGTAACTTGAAAAACTTTAAATAAGCATATTTTATTAAAAGGTAATATGGTTACATGTATTCCATTATATCTCTTATTGGACATTTAAACTATTTCTGTCCTTTTTGCTCTTAATTAGTGCTACAGTGGAGAAATGAAAAGCCTAACAGATAGACCTGCCCATGTTCTCATTTGTCTGTAATGATTATTTCTGTGTTAAAGTCCTTTGTATCTGTATTTCCTATTTCTTCCCAATGCATTTGCATTCCACCTTATTGTTCCAGTATATGTGGATAAAATTACACATATAGTAATGAAAAGCCCACTCAATTTTTTTAAAGTTATAAAGGTAACACATGCTTATTGTAGAACATTATGAAAAATTGGAAGAATATAAGAATTCCCAATGCTTATATGATCATAGATATTTTGGTATATATTTTCTCTCTCCCTTTAACAGTGAGTGTTGAAAAAATGTGTGCTAATTTGGCAGGGAAATAAATACTGCAGCTTGTAATTTGCACATTTTTGCTTATTCAGGTGGTGGAGTAATGTTTCAAATAGTATTTCGAATGTTTACAGGCTATATAGTCTATTTTAGACCTTACCTTTGCTAGTTTTCCTGCAGTATTCCAAACCGATCATTATGAATTGTAATGGCTTAGTGTAGGTTGTAATTCTTTCAATTATGTTGAAAGCTGGTTGTGTAGCCCTGGATAAATTATTTAATTTTGCTGAACCCACTTTTCTTAGGGATAATTAGGGACAATACTACTTGTTTTGCAGGGTTGTAATAAAGATTAGAAATAGTGTATCTAAGGTGAATTCAATAAACTACTTTTTCTGACTTACAGCTTTAGAGTCTGTGTGCATATGTGTTTGTATGTTTGTATTTCAAGTGAATGAATAATCTTAGCATCCCATTCAATTTAGATATTTACTGAAGACCTACGTCATAAACTACTGTTCACAATTTTCAAGGCGATATTATTGAAGTATATTTCCTATGTAAGCCATTGGTTCAGTTAAGTGAGCTCAAAGCCCCCGCCTCCCGCCCATGTGCTGGGCCTGGCATGTTAGACAAGTACTCTGTTACCAAACTACACCCTCCGCCCAGTTTCAGAGAAGCTCATTTGTATTTCCTCATTCTTCACCCTGGCCCATAGTAGGTGCTGGATAAATGTGTGAACTCTGTTGAATAATTTACCGAGGAAAGAAAAATAGATAAAACTTGGCAGACTGGAATAAAAGCAATAGCAACAGAAATGTTCAGACTTTGGGAGACCAAGAGATCTGGTAATGCCCCAGTCTGAGGGTCTAAGGAAAAGGGCTTAAAAACAAAAGTAACAGTAAGAGTCAAGTTTTGGAGGTCGAAATAAAGAGTGCGTTTTGTTATCAGAGTTACTTGGGGTGACAAGGGTATGGTGGATAAACTGGTTCTGATGAGCTGGAAAAAAGTATCATGGTAGGGTTCCACATTCTGAAGATTTTGACTCTTTGTAGTTCTCGAACTTTGCTGAAAAATACCCCTTTCAGTATGGTATAGCGCATCATTGGGTAAAATGGGTCTGAGGGACGGCAGTGGGCTAGAGATGCAGGAGGGGGAAGGAGCAGGGGAGCGGAGACGAATCTTTTATCAGGTCAGCAGGCTGCAGAAAACTGTGGGGCGACGCTTACGTGAACTGGCCATCATACCCAGCTGCAGCAGCAGAGCTCGTGGATCCTCTCGCGTGCTAGGGTCTCAGCGTAGCCCCGCCCACAACAGCCCAGCGCCCCACCCCCGCCCGAAGCCCCTCCCATTTGTCCACTGGCCACGCCCCCTCCGCGTACAGAGCCGCGCGTTCTGAGGCCCTGCTACCCTAACTCCTCCGGCCAGCTGTGTCGGGGCCGGCGCTGCGAGGGAGGCCCCGGGCGGTGAGGTTGGCTGGAGCAAGGTTACCTTTCGTGCCCCAGTCCCCGCCGCTCGAGCTCCAAGGAAGCCGCGGCATGGCGGGCGCTGGGGACGAGCGCGGGCCAGGCCCCGCGGCGGGAGGGCAGCAGCAGCGGCAGCGGCGGCTCGGCGCGTGCCAGGTCTGCCCCGAGCAGCTGGCCGAAGGGAGGCCCCAGCAAGGGCTCTTTTCTAGCTTCCTGAGTCACAACCAGAAGTGCCAGCTCATGCTCCTGAAGACGCTGGAGACAAGTAGGAGCCCTGACCTGGCGCCCGGGGTCGGCGGGGTGTGTCTGAGACCCGGCTAGGGAGGAAGGGCCCGAGTTCCGCTCCGCCGGAGCGCTGGTTCAGCCCACGTGCTGCATGGGCGGGGTTCCGGGCTCCCCCACGTAGAGGCTGCCTTTGCATCTGGGAGATTGAGGTGGGGGCCTGCGCCTCAGTTTCCTCACTGAAGGAGGCGCTGACGCCTTTTAGCAGTCCTTTCGCTATGAATGAATGAATACGGGTCGGGGTCGGAGTTTGAACTTACGGGCCATACTCAGTGATTTCTTGAATATCTGGTGCAGCACACGGATACGTGAGGGTCTGGCTTTTGAAGAGCCCCTTTAATCAGGTGTAGCTACTGCGGGCATTGCAAAAACATTTTTGCGGAGTTTCCCTTTCGATAGAAGGATTTTTTTTTTTTTTTTCGATAGAACTTCTTGTTCTGATGCGTGGGTGAGTTACTGAGTGTAAAAGAAACCTAAGTGTATTTTTTTGGGAAAGAGTTAAAAGCTTGATCATATTCTCAGAGTCCCACAACGTCAAAAGGGTAAGAATCGTTGCTGTGTGTTAAATAAGATCATACTACCCAATGATCAATTTTTTTTTTCAGTCCGGGGGACATTGTGCTAGAGATTTAACTTTTGTGGCCCATGCTGACCTTGAACTCTGCAGAGATCCTCTTGCCTCAGCCTCTTGTGTGTCGGGGGATTTCAGGTGTGTGCCACCACGTCTGGCAACATAGACTTGGCAGATCTACTTCTGATATAGTTAGGAAATTAAAGTTTTAATTTTTTTACTTGTCTTAAAGCAAGGTTACTATTTCAGAAGCAGACTGGTGATAGTTCCAAAATGAACCAAAGATTTTCCAAGCTTCTTGGGATTACTTGCATATGAGAAAATCACCACAGATGGGAGGAGGAAGGAGGAGAGAAGTAAGGATGTATTTGCTTTACAAATATGCATTGAACGCCCCTTTGTTAGTGGCAGAGGGAGATACAAAGCTGAGAAAGTCCCTACCTTTAAAAAGTTTCAAAGTGGGGGCTGGGGATTTAGCTCAGCGGCATAAGCACCTGCCTTGCAAGCCGGCAGTTGTGAGTTCGATCCCCGGTACCGATAAAAAAAGAAAAAGACAAAAAAAAAAAAAAAAGTATCAAAGTGAATATAGTGAAAAGAACATGGGCAGTGGAATAAGAACTGGGTTCAAATTCAGATTCTTCTCCTTAGTAGGTATGGAAGAGCAACTTAACCTCTCTGAGCTTGTCTGTATTTATCTGTAAAAAAAAGGGTGAGGGAAGAGGGATAAGAATATCTCTTTTGGGGTTGTGAGGAATAGATTTGGTGAAATGAAAGTGCCAGCATATGAGGAGCAGGCTGAGGGCTAGCTGATCATATGGTGGAAGAACAGGGTGGAAGAGGACAAGCTGAGGTAGGATATAAGGAGGGTAGGTGTTGAGCATGATCCCAGGAGCAGTCAGCTGGCCTCAGACTTAAAGAGGAAAGCTTGAGTGACAATGCATTTAGTATGATTTCTGTCACCTACTGTATACTTAGTTGATAATAGTATTAGAAGTAATTATTCTGTTAATACTTTTAAAAGAGAGCAGTTCAGTAAATCAGTAACTGATACCAAACTTTTGTTTTGTTCTTTTTCATTTTTTTGAGAAAGGATCTTGCTATGTAGTTCAGGCTGACCTTGAGCTCAGTGTAGCCGAGGCTGGCCCTGCCTCGTAGGTGTTAGGATTACAGGCATGTGCCACGACACCCACCTTACCTAACCGTATTTACTCACCAATTTGTGCTTTGAGCATTTTTTTTTTCTTTTTTCCAGTATTGGGGATCGAACTCATGACCACCTGCTTGCAAGGCAGGTGCTTATGCTGCTGAGCTAAATCCCCAGCCCCCACTTTGAGCATTTTTAAAATCTCTGTTTCTTTTTCTGTTTTTTTGGGGTTCTGGTTTGTGTATACTCTGGGATAAGATGACTGTGGGTAAAGTTGATATCAGAGGCACCTGTGCCCACTGTACTTTGCTATAGCCATCTCAGGCTCATGGGGTTTTAGAAGACATGAACATCCCGTCCTCTCTGCCTCCATGCTGGGAAACCTTTGTGCCTTCACTGACCAGATGTCTTTGGACCTCTCCTGAAACAGCTTACCTGTTCACTGAGGCTCCCTGAATCTATTCATTTCTGATAGCTTTAATTGCTGAAAAAATGCTTTCTTATGGGTTGCAATCTGTCACATGTTAATTTCTACTCTTGTCTGTGTTCTGCCCTCTGAAGCAATACTGATTGACTCTGACCTTAGATGGCACTCTTTTAATACCTGAACCTACTATGATTCTAGTTAAGTATTCTCTTTTTGAAATCCCCAAATCCTTTCTGGCTTCTTACTGAGCATAGTTTCACACTGTTCTAGTTGCCTTATGCTGTGAAGAACTTCAGTTGCAAGTCCCTTCTGCAGTTTATATGCCGAATGAGACCCAGTGTTAGTGTGATGTGACCAGCATGGCGAACAGTTCAGCTATGACCTTCCTCAGATCTGGGTACTGTGCCCTCCCACACTCTGCCTTTAAAAATTTTTTCTGAATGTGCCTAATCTTGTATTCCTCCAGTCTGAAGGTGTACACTGTAATACAAAATATTTGGTTATTTAACTAAAAATGACCTTTGACACTATTCAAAATGCCTAGTGGTTCCATCTTGGTATTCATATTAGTGTTATATTTCATTAGAGACTTGCTTTGATGTTAATTTAAACGTGTTATATCCACTTTTTCCATTTTTTCAATTTTAAGATAGTATTACTTGTGATTTGTGAGTTACTTTTTGATAATGTTTTATACTTCTATTTGGATAATTTAATTGTTGCTAATTTTTCCAATTAGCATGCTGAATTGACTCAATATCTTTTTTAGATCCCTATGTCAAACTTCTGCTTGATGCTATGAAGCACTCAGGTTGGTAAGTAAATTGTCTAAAGATGCTTTTCTATATTCTGGCTGCCAAAACCAAAAAGCTACAATGTGTTCTGCATCATTTGTTCAAAGGGTTTCTGTAATCATATTATACATAAAATCTGCACTAGCATGAATTTTGCAGACATGTTTTGCCCATGAGAAACCCTTGAGTCCTGAGGTCGCTTTCCTAGGGTTTCATATGTGTTAGTGGTGGGTGGGATCTACTGTATGGTGAAAGGGCTCCCTGACTGTATGCACAGTCCTTCTGGACATTGTATGTTTTATCTATTCTTACCTTTTAGTGCTGTTAACAAAGAAAGACACTTTTCATGTGAAGATTGTAGTGGAAATGTCAGTGGAGGTTTTGATGCTTCGTCCTGTCAGGTAGGCTTTTCTGCCAGTTGTCTTCCTTTTTATCCTGTCTCCTAACCCTTGCTGAGCACCTTCCATATGCTGGGCATCCTGTTTGATAGACTTTGTGTATGACTCAGAAACAATGAATTAGTCATGATCCTTACACTTAAGGAGTTCATTCTACGGAGATAAGACATGAAACGCAGTCTTTTTTTTGGCACCAGTGATCAAACTCACAATCTTGCGCTTACCAGGCAGGTGCTTTATGCCACTGAGCTAAATTCTTTGCCCGTGAACACAGTCTTAGACTCTGAGGTGGGTTAAACTATTTCAGATAGAGTTGGTGTATTAGTCACTTTTTCTTTGATATGACAATACATGGGATAATCAATTTATAATGAAGAAAGGTTTGTTTTGGGTCAAGTTTCAATCCACTTGTGAGTGCTTGGTCTCACTGCCTTCGTGGTCTGTGGTGAGGCAGGACACCATGGTGGGAGTGCAAGGGAGACACTTGCCGCCTGGTGGCTAGGAAGTGAAAAAGAGAAGAAGGTTAGGGCTCCAATATTGCCTTCAAAAGCATGCTCTGCCAGTGACCTTACTTCCTAAAGATTCCCAATGCCAGTGGAGCTACAGATTGGGGATCAGGCCTTCCACATACTGAACTTTGGGGGACATTCAAGACCCAAACTAAAAGGACTAGAGATAGAGCTCAGTGGCACAGTGCCTACCTGGCAAGTATGATGTTCAGAGTTCAATTCCTGGTACCCACAAAAAAAAAAAAGACTCAAACTAAAGTACTTGGTTACCACAGTGGAACGTGATGTGAAATGAGACAGCACTTGTTTGAAAGATGCCACAGATTCATGTAGAGGATATAAACCCTCCTTACGGGTAGAGAAGACAAAGGTTGTTGCCCAAGGTGGCGGTGGCTTGAGCAGGAGCAGCATGCTGGAAACCAATAAGATATGTTAGGGACTAGCATATTGTCTAGTTAACTGGAGGGCAGGTGCACATGGAAGGTTAGGAGAACAAGACTGGGAAGAAGAAGCAGATGGTGGAGGGCTTTTAATAGTGCTAAGGGAATGGATTAAACCTTTATGTGGTGAGAAGTGATACTACCAGTGAAAATTTTTGGTTAAGGGGAGTGAGGTTTCTCATCTGTAAAATATGGGTAACAACTGTATCTAATAGAATGATTATGAGAATGAAATGAAATGTCTTTTGTAAAGTTGCTTATCATGGCCTGTCATGAAATTGATAATTTTATTAATTTTTAGGCCTTGGAAAATTTTTTTTTAATTTTAAAGAGACGAAAATAACAATAAAACAGCATTTCAAACCAGGCTATTAGGACAGTAACAGTAATTAATAAATTTCATATTGTGATCTTCATAGTAGTTATGAGATACAGGTAAGAAATGCTGTGTAAACAGTATTTGCTCAAGTCTTTTCAATGAACTAAGAGAAACTAGTTGTGTAATCTATCTTAATTATCTTGTGTGTGTATATGTATTTATATATATTATTTTTTATTTTTTTTTCCTCCCTCTTGGAAGGTTTGGACAGGATTTTAGAAGTGACAGGTTATGTCACATGATGATGGTGGATGAAAGTAAATATTCCCAATTTGAATATACCATTCGCATTTAACACATTTAGCTATTTCCTCCTAGGGAATTTCATATGTATTTCAGTGATTTATACATAATTTGTAGTAATCATAGGAAAAATCAATATAGCATGGGTGAGAAGTCTGGGTTTTGGAATTAGATAGACTTGAGTTCAAATCCTAGTTTCTCTGCTTATTTGCTATGGGGCTTGGGCAAATAATTTTTCTAATCTTAGTTTCTTTGTGTGTAAATTGATAATCACAATACTGACATCTCAAAATGACTGTTGGTAAGTTTACCTGCTGTCTTGCCCCTGGGATTAAACAGAGTGAACATTTTGAATTTTCCTTTTTTTTTTTTTTGTTTTTTTTTTTTTTTGTTTTTATCGGTACCAGGGATCGAACTCAGGACTGCCTGCTTGCAAGGCAGGTGCTTATGCCGCTGAGCTAAATCCCCAGCCCCTTGAATTTTCCTTTTAACTGTCAGGAATGTTGAACAGTTGCACATTCTCATCTTTTATTTTGAATTAAAGATTTTATGATGAAGTCTCTTATTCTACAGAAGAGTAAAAACCCTATTTGTACACTTTGAGTAATAAAGGAAACAGTGGTGTGACTGCCACCTAGATTTGAGAAGTAGAACATTGCCAGGACTTCAGAATCTTGTGGGCTTCTCTTGAAATACATCTCTCTCCTTCCTTATTCTAACCTCTGTGGAAAGCATTCTCTACTTTCTGAATGGTTGGCCGTGCATATAGACACTCTAGTAATGCATCATTTAGGTCTTGTTTTTGTGCTTTATATATGTAATAATTTATAGTTTTATGAAAACAATAGAGATAGTTCCCCATAAATTATATTTTTATCCAACATGATTTGTAAAATTCTGTTTTTGCATGTATGTCTCTTGGTTAGTTTCTCTGTTGTATAATATTCTAGTGTGTGTTCATATTATAGTTTATCCAATGTAATATTATTTTCAACTTCATTACAAATACTGTTGTTATGAGTTACTTATTTATTTTGAGGCAGGATCTCACTGTGTAGTTCAGGGTGGCCATGAACCCACTATGCAGCCCAGGCTGGCCTTGAACTCATGGAGATTCTCCTTCCTTAGCTTCCCAAGTGCTGGGATTATGGGGGTGTGCTATCATACCTGGTGCTGTGAATGTTCTTGACTGTGTCCTGGTGTGTGTTTGCCGGGCTTTCCCCACCTCATAGATTGTGCACATTTGTTTGCTGGTAATGCCAAACACTCTCTCCCATGGTTTCCGGACATGACACTTTTCTGGCTGCCCCTTTTTTAGCTTACTTTCCTTTCCCAACCGTCTAGTGTTGAAGTCCCTTAATCTTTGGTGTTAGGTCCTTCTTTTTTCTTACTTTACAGTCTGCTTTGGTGCCTCCTTAATTTTTATAAGGTGAAACTTTTTTGAACTCCACACCTTCATATCCAAGTGCCCACTTAACACCTTTTCTTGGTTTTAAAAACCACGGACCTGACTGTCTAAGCCCAGATTCATGATTTCTGCCCCTCACCACGTGGTCTTTATTTTGCATATTTCAGTGGATCTGTTACTCAGGTCCAACCTGTTACTCAGGCCAGAAACTTATGGATACTTCGAATTCCCTTCTCATTTTCTGTCCATCACCACATTTCCACACTTCATCTCCTGAATTCCTCTTTCAGCTCCCGCCATTCTGGCTCAAGTACCTCACCTTCTGTCTCATGCCTAGAACACTTCATTAGCCTTCTGTGTTAATGTTAGCTAGTTTCTGTGCAACCAGTTTTGGTCTCCTGATTATTCTTCCGACTGTAGCTGAAAGGGTAAAAACAGCACAGAGGCACTCCCTGCCTCAGCCCTGCCTCGCAGTACGTTCCCATTGCTGTCAGGGTGAAGGCAAGGCCTGTGGTGAGCTGGGCCCTGCTGACCTTGTCAGTCCTAGCTCGCATCTACTACGCAAACTCTGAGCTTCAGCACTTGGCCCTGGTTTCAGCCTCTTAAAGGTTCTATTCTTTTGACTCTCTTCTTTCCTTTATATATAAGGATGAGCCGCTTTGCCATTGCTGGGACAAAATACCTGACACCTGCAATTTAAAGATTAAGAGGTTTGAGTTTTGTTGGATCATTGAACAAAACTGTTTGCAGTCTCACTGTTTGAAAGTCCCCTCTATATGCTTTAATTTTGTAACTTGAACAACTGTTTCTAAGATGGCAATATGTAATTAACTAGTGATTTCCTACTGTTTATTTTTCTGAAATTCTGTATAACTTGTACCCTTTTTCTGTTTTTTTTTTCTCCTTAAATAAAATAAAATAAAAAAAAAAGATTAAGAGGTTTGTTTTGACTCATGGTTTTAGTCTGTGATCATTGGACTCCAGGGTAGAAACAGGGTGGTAGAGGACCATGACAGAGGGAAAAGGGTTTAACCCCTGGCAGCCGGGAAGCAGAGAGAGAAGGGAGGAGCCAGAGAGAGAACCCACCTTCCTGAGGCAGGCTCCCAGTGATCGGCTGTTCTGACCAGCCCACCTCTGAACGTAAAGCTTTTGGGGCACAGAGAAGATCTAAACCATAACATTGTTGTCTCTGTCTTGGACCCCCTTCTCCTTCTCTCCTCACATTTAACTCCCATCTAGCTGCTGGAGCTCAATGTAAAATTCTTACCACGAAGAAGCCTTTCCTGCCCTCCACACCAGGTCAGGCATTCCCATTGTCTGTGCTCAGGGCCGCCTGCCATTTTCTTCACCTCTAGCTGTCACTGCATGTATTTAAATATTTTTGGTAAACATTTGCCTAATTTCTGTTTCTGTTAGATTATAAATCTATTGGTTGGTCTTAATAAGTAATAAATATGAGTTGAGTAAGTTAATGTTGAATAAGTGAATAGAGAATATCTAGTACGTCTCTCAGCATCCAGCACCTGGTAAATACACAGTAAATGGCAGCTGTCCTTACTGGGATTCCTCACATCTTTCATATTCTTATAGGGTCCTGCTCAGTGTGTTGCTGGCTGTTTGCATTTCTTTCTGAGGATTTTTCCTGCCCTTTCCCCCCCCTGGTCTAGTAGAATAAGGACAGTGATGGTCTTTCATTGCTTACTCAGAGACGTATTGAGAAGTATTTGAAATAGTCTCACTTAATTCTCAGTTCTATGAGGTGGGTACTGTTAATTATTTCCTTTTATAGTTTAAGGAAACTGAACCAGGAGGAGGTTAAGAAAGTTGCCTGTGGTTACCAAGTGGTTTAGTCACTTCCCTCTTTGCTAGGACAAAATAACTAGTATCCACAATTTAAAGGAGAAATTTATTTTGGCTCACAGTTTGTAGAGGTTTCAGTCCAGCCTGTCTCCAGGGCAGGATGGTTAGAGAGCAAATCAGGGAGACAGAGAGGGAGGGAGATAACCCATTGCAGGCCACACCCTCAGTGACCACCTCTTCTGATCAGCTCCCACCGCATAACAGCAGGTCAACTGTAAGTCCCCATAATCTAATCACCTTCCAAAAGTCCACCATTGAGCACATGAGGCTTGGGGATGCAGGGGGAGGGAGGGGGGGGGCGGGGGGGGCATCTAGATACACACCGTAATACCAAGTTAGCAAGGGCTGGAGCTGGAATTTCAATCTGTCTGCTTCATTTCAAGACCTACTCTTGTCATTTTAATAATGTATAGTCCAAGACAGACTGGTGCCTTCAGATCAATGAGAATGGTATGTGAATAAATGTCCTTAACCTTGTGCCATGTGGCCTAGGGGGAAGAGAAGGAGAAGGTGGTCATTGGGAAGACTAATGGAGCATTTGCATGATATAGGACCTCCAGATATGATATAAGGGAAATATTTTTTAACTCCAAACCTGTTAGATGTCCAATACACAGAGTTCGTGTTCCCCAAAATTGAAAAATGAATTTTAAGGAACAGTGGAGGTTGAGAGTAGGGAATATTTAAATATTGGGTGGTGGAAGATACAGCAGGAGGGACCCTGAGAGGATTGCCAAGGACCTCATTTTCGGGAAAGTTTTATAGAGCATAACCACATGGATATGATGTGGGTTACAGCTATGATTAATCAATAAGATTATAAATATAGTTGCTTAGGTAATAGTGATCCAGTTGGGAAGTATGTCATGTAGCAAGTGCACATGGAAAGAACAAAGCACTTTTCAGGAAGCGATGAATCCGACGGTCGTGGTCACTCACTAAGGTGACTGATGTCTGTAGACTTCATTAGACCAGGAGGTACCACTTAACCAGGCCTGGTTATTCTGTTTTTATCTTCAAGCCTGGCCTCCAGCAGATGATCCTGCTGCCACAGTTGTGATGATTTTGTCTTGATGGCCTCAAGAGTCCAGCCATGTCTGACTATCTGTAGTATTTCTATCTCAGTGGTCTAAAATAGGCAGAGGTGGGCCCGATGGAGAAAGGGTAGAGGTATCCTAAACAGAGGAACTTGTGGGAGAGAAGGTGGGATCTATAAAATAAAAGCAGATTTTAGAAATAACTATACTTTTCTTAATTTGGTGTTTTGTAGATTGTTTTGTGCCAGAATAATATCCGTAATCAGGCCCATATGAACCGAGTGGTCACCCACGAGCTCATTCATGCATTTGATCATTGTCGTGCTCATGTTAACTGGTTCACCAATGTCAGACATTTGGCGTGCTCAGAGGTGAGTTTTATTGTAGAAGACACTTACTTTTTCCCACAATACTCTGTGTATTCAAGTTTAATTATTCAAATATATTTCTTTGCTACTTACTGTATTATCTTAGCCTTGATTTTCTGTTTTTATCTACTATTGAATATAATTTTTGAGATACAGCTAGAGAAATTTTAAGTATATATTGATTGATTGATGGGTGGATGGATGGGTTGGTTTTTTGAAAAAGGGTCTCACTTTGTAGTCTAGGCTGGCCTCGAACTTGCCATCTTCCTCCCTTAATCTCAGAGTGCTGGGATTACAGGCAGGTGCCACCATGCCGAGCATTAAGTATATTTTTAGAATTGTCTTATATAATCTTAAAGGCCTAATAGTACTGAAGACTAATTTTAATTGTAATAACTTTTTGTTATGAAATGTTATATAATATTAAAAAATAATAATTAACACTAGGGCTCTGTGCCGAACATTATTCTCTCTCTATTGTTTCTTACTTAATTTTTATAACAACCTATCAAGAAAGATACTTATTATTATCCTTGCTTTATACATGTGGAAGATTCCATAGTCAGTAAACGGCAGAGGTAGGGTTACAACCAGTGTTCTTAGGAAACCTGAAGTTCTTTCATCTTTGATGTTATGCCCCCTTATTTTCTTACTCTGTAACTTATTTTCTTTGAACTTTTCTGTGTCAGGAGTATTGAACATTGTTGCACATTCTTGTCTTTTATTTTAAATTAAAAATTTTATTATTTTTGTTAAATTATAGTTTATTGTTAATAGTCTGCTGTGTTGCCTTCCATAGGTAAGTCTCTGCTTGTCTTGGAGTAAAAGGTTTAGTTTCAAAAATGTGGCATAAAAATAATTTATTATTAAGCATTTTGGATTGCTTTCTGAAGTATGCACATATATGCTCCTAGACAGACATATGTATTTCATATTTGCATTTCAGTAGTTTAGTGCATTATGATGAGCAGTTTAAAAAATAATTTATTTTTATTTAAAAAAATTTTTTTTTTGACTTTTTGAGATAGGGTCTCATTATGCAGTTCAGGCTGGTCTTGAGCACACTTTGTAGCCCAGGCTGGTCTGGAACTTGCAGTGATCCTCCTGTCTAAGCCTCCTGAGTGCTGGGATAACAGGCATGTACCACCATGTCCCTCATAAAAAAATAATTTAAATCTCATGCTTATACTCTGTAAATTAGATTATTTTCTCTTTCCTTTGATTAACAAGTAACCCTGCTACATCTAATTATAATTCCTATTATTCAGAAAGTAGACTAAAACTTGAGTTATTAATTAACTCAATACTAGCACAAAACTTGGTGTTATGAGAATTTACTGCCTGTTAGCAAGTTAAATTGTGTTAAGTACCTTGAAGGCTCAGAACAAGGCCATGTTATTGTAAAAATACCAAGAAGTGGGTCATTCTCTTTGCAGTGAATTAGCAGACATGTGGCCAGAGTCATGCAGTCTATGTATGTAGTTCCAAGACTTTATGTGTTAAAATATAGTACATTAGAAAATACGTCCTAACTTCAGTCTGTCATGCACACATGACCAGTTTAGAATGTTGTTCTTTGTGCTTTGTATCATTTCATTTCCTATAGGAAGGCCAAAGTCCTGAAAGAGAGCCATGACCCAGGTTTGAGGGAAAATCCAACAAAGTTTCAGAGATTTGGACTAGGACTGGAATTCATTTGCTCTTAGATATGGATATATTCAGATTTTTTTCGCTACTAGGGATTGAACCCAGGACCTTTGCACTGAGGTACATCTTTGCCCTTTCTATTTTTAAATTTTGAGACAGGGCCTTAGTAAATTGTCCAGTCTGGGCTCAAACTTACTGTCCTCCTGTTTTAGCTTCCCAGAGTGCCAGGATTACATATCTATAGCACCATGCCTGGATGTATTCAGTTTTGAGCTCACATTCAAGCTCAGTTTGTAGTTCTTTGAAATAATCCTTTCTTGAAGTTCTTTTGGTAATTTCCAGAAGTATTTGTATCTTGTAGAGATTATGGACTTTAACATTGACTTTAACAGGTGCAATTCTGAGTCTTGGCTCTGGCTCTGGACAAATTAGTTCTATCAGGTTATAGGGTAAAGTTTAGAAAATTCTGTCTAGAATATATATAGAACTCAAGATAATCAGACCCCTCAAATTTATTTATTTTTCTTTTTTCTGTTTTAAAGAGGAAAAAAAACACAAAATTTGAAAATGTGATAGAGGGTAATGATGTCATATACATTTGTGTATGGTCATCTTCAAATCAGTTACTCAGAGCACAAGACATCTGCATTTAATTGTCTGAACAATACTAGCACAAACCTTTCTCTTCAATGAACTCAAAGAAATCAGTAGTATCACTATCTTAACTATCTTTTAGAACATATGTAAGAAACTATATATATAAGAAACTGTATTATAGTTTTATATATATACATATGTAGTTTCTTTCAGCGTCTCACACTAGTGAGACAGTATGTTTACACATGCATATCTGATTTATTTCACTTATGAGTGTGGTCTCAAATTGCATCCATTTACCTATAGAAGTCTCCAATTTATCCTTATTTATGGCCGATTACTACTCCATTGTATAAAAATACCGCATCTTTTTTTATCCATTCCTCAGTCGATGGGCATTTAGGTTGTTTGTAAAATCTAGCTGTTACAAATTGCGCTGCTAGTCCTGTAAGAGCAGGGCGCGGTGGCAACTGCAGCCGCACATTCCCCTCTCGGACGGGATTGGTGAAAGGTGCCTGGCCGGAGTGACGGTGCTGGCGGACTCCCTAGGCTGGCCTAACCCAGATCCCAGAGCCTGACGGTGGCCCGGAGGAGCGACCGACTCCCGCGTAGGCTGCCTCCTCCGCAACTCCCTGGGGCGCAGCGGTGGGCGGGAACAACTAGCCAGCGCAATTTGATCAGGCTGTGGCTGACAGGCAGGGAAGCCGGACCTCCTGTGTAAGATTGCATTTTATAAGGAACAGAAAATATGGGGAAGGGAAGCAACAAAAAAGGCTCCTCGGCCCCCAATCCTGAGAATCAGGCAATAGTGGACACTGCACCAATATACATTAAGCGCCATTTAGAGAGCCTCATAGACCAATTCAGAAATGAAGTTATCAATGACCTGAAGCTAGAAGTATGCAGAATAGTTAGAGAAATGCTAAACACCACCCAGGAAAAAGCAGATGGTGGAATGGAAGAACAGAAAAAGAGGGGAGAATTGCTTGATGGAGAAAACAGAGAAAGCATTGAGTATGTGAAGCAGGTGCAAAGGGACTATCAAGAAATTAAGAAGTCTACCCAAGACTGGCATAACAGCTTGAAAGAAACTAAGGACAGACTATCTGAATTGGAGGGCAGACTTGAAACATGGGAGAATGAAATGAAAAACTTCTTAAAAATAACAAAGAAACACACAGCAATAATACAAAGACAAGAAGATGATAAGAGGAGCCATAACTTAAGGATTAAGAACATAAAAGAAGAAGTAGGGACACAAACAAGTGAACTACAAAAGCTACTCACAGAAATAATCCAGGAGAATTTTCCTAATTTAGCAAAAGGTAAAGATACTCAAATGTATGAGGCATACAAGACCCCAGCTACCTACAACCCTAACAGAGAAACACCCAGGCATATAATAATAAAAATTCCAGAAATTCAATACAAGAACAGAATATTAAAAGCTATAAGAGACAAGAAACAGATCACTTACAAGGGAATACCCATCAGAATTACAGCAGATTTCTCTTCACAAACCATCAAATCATGAAGAGCATGGGGAGAAATAATTCAAGCTTTGAAAGATAATAATCTCCAGCCAAGACTGAGATATCCTGCACAACTGTCCCTGGAAATTGATGGAAAAACGAGGTGCTTCCAGGATAAAGAGGAACTGGGGGAATTTGCAACCACCAATTCAACCCTACAGAAAGTATTGCAGGATATTCTAAAAAAAGAAAAATACAAAGAACCCAGTAATAGGGGCGGGGAGGCCACAACGAATGGAGCAGAGAACAAAATGAAGAAGACAAACTGACAGCTACTGACAGAAAAAGAGCTCAACAGAAATGAGACAGAGAAGATTGGATGATAGGAACAGCTTTTTTTTGGAGAAAATGACATCTTAATAGGTAATGCTGATTTAGTGCCATCTTGTTTTGAAGTCTCATCTAGCTTTTGTTCTTCTGTCTCCAATGGTCTAAACAGGTTGTATCTTATTGGATTTTGTTATGTACGATAGTATAAGAAAAAACCTTTTAAAGACAAGGAGATTATACAGAGACCATTGTTCATTTTCTGTTAGTCGATTCTAAATACTCTATAATGCTGTCATTCTCTTAAATGGATTTACATTGTTTTGATATACTTAATGCTACAGTATATGAAGTTGTACTCAAGGACTTCAGGGAGGGAGTCAATATGGTAACTATTTTTGGGTCAGGATTATCTGGTGGTGAAACACTATTCTGCTTAAATGGTTATGTTTTGATCTACCCTGTTTCGCTGTTATGCCCTCTTTTTTCTCAATCTCCACTCCATTATTTACTTTTTTATTTTTATCCATTTAATTAAAGGGAAAAATATAGCAGGATATAATATAGTAACCCACTTTGACTTTCTATTATCTCGATTTGAAGCCCTGTATTACTCTCACCATCTTGTTTTTGACTGAGGTTCCTCTATTCTGTTTTGCTGGATAGTATCAGGTTCGAAAGTTTAGGCATCAGCTGAGAAGATAATGAGATTCATTATAACGCCCATTCTCGTTGACTTTTATCTACTTTTGAAGACCTACAATATCTCCAATGTTTTGGTTTTGTCGGTTTTATTCTTTACGGTTTAGTTCAATTGTATTACAACTAATGATATAGGCAATTCTATTAGAAATAGCGGGAGGCATTATGGTAACCATTGTTGATCACCTTGTATTATGTTTTTTTTTTTTTTTTTTTTTTGTCTTTTTCGTTTTTATCGGTACCAGGGATCGAACTCAC